TTTTAGCAAGAGAAAGATTCGTAAATAAAGTAGCACCAAAAAATCTTAGTGAAAAAAGCACAAATAGGAGAGAAATTGGGGTCTTTGTCAGCCTTCTTAGCAACAGCCTGAATATAGACAGGAGGAGTACACTTCACTGAATACATCTCATGCTAATGTTTTGATGACCATTTGAGATGGAGAATCCTTAGTGGTCTAATTTTCTAAGTCTAAAAACGGAGAATCAAAAGTATTGTCATTTCCTTCAAAGTTATAACATGCTACAGAAGCCTACATGTAATTGAAAGAAAAAATTGAGAGGTTGATCTAATAGAGTTATCTTTGCTAAATTATTTTAAATCAACGAGTTCGAGTTGGCATTAACCCTATTTGGGGGTATAACTAACATCAACAAATAGAATGATAAGATAATTGTCAAATGGTTGTTGAAATTAAGACCATTATCGGAGGGCCATTACTATCATCCCAAAACTTCTTCACCACTAGTGAATAACTAGCATCGAAGAAATCTCACGCTGATCATTCTATCATGTTTAATGATTTGAACCTGGAAGAGATCCAAACTCCACGTCAAGTCCCATTTGTCATTAATGCTGGAATTGGTGATCATTGCTACAATGTTAAGAGAATTCTAATTGATAATAAAAACTCTATTAAAATTTTGATCTATGAGACGAAGATGACTTTGGAGGGCCTTGCTTGTGAAAGAATTGGTTCATGTCTCATAATCAGCTGAGCATCCTTCACGAATGATACAAGTTTGTTCTTTACTCTTTGATGGGAAGAGACTAGAGTATGTAGTTTTGTAATGATAAAATCAAGACATTTTGGAGGATAATAGATATTCCTGACATTAATTCTTAGGTAATCCCACACTCCCTTCAAATAGACCTAACCTTCATTCCCGTCATTTAAAAGAACAGAAATTTTATGCAAAGTCATCTACAAGCAATTGAACAAAAAGTTGACAAACTCTATGATATTGGATTCTTCCAAGAGCTATACTACTCACTTGGTTGGCAAATATAGTTTTGTTCTAGGAGATCCAGAGGATGTGGGTAGATTATATCAACCTTAATAAAGCTTATACAAATGATAGCTTCCCGTTCCTTGCATGGATCAATTGGTAGACCCCACCTTTCTGCATTAGATGCTTAGTTTTATAGATGTCCATCCATCTATAATCAAATAAAAATGAATATTGCTTATAAAGATGCTAACACTTTTTAGACAGACCTAGGATTGAATTTTTACTAAGTCATGTGATTTGGATTCAAGAATGCCGATGCAACTTATGAGCACCTCATGAAAAAAGTATTCAAGGACTTATTGGGCACACCGTGAAAGTTTATGTTGAAGAATTATTGGTCAAAATTTTTGATAGAATACATCATCTTTTTCAGTTGGGATAATGTTTTCGACTTCGATATTATAATATGTGCCTAAATCCAACTAAATGTACTATAAGGATCACATCAATTATATTTTTAGGATTCATAGTTATCTATTGAGAAATTGACAGTGAATTCGGAGAAGATTAAGATCGTACAAAATATGACACCTCCAATAAAATATAAAAAAGGTACAATGCTTGGATGAATGAATAACAATCTTGTCTTGTTCCTTGGCTCGTTCTGAAGATAAATATTTGTTATTTTATATGGCATTTAAGGGTGCTCATAATATTGACTTTCAATAGACGGATTGAGCAACTCTAAACATATTTAGCTTCACCACCTCTATTATAAAAGTAAATCTTAAGAAAAATGCTCTATCTACATCTTTATGTTTATTCTCATGCAATAAGCTCAATGCCGATACGAGAGAAGAATGTGGGCCAACAATTTGTCAATCATATCAACAATATGACATAGACTGGCGCTATTCACTAGCAAATAAGACTGCCCTGACACTATATTCTTATCAAGGAAGCTACGCCCGCATTTTTTTGCCACACCATTCGTGTTTATACTCAACTGCCACTTATGGCTATCATTCAGAAATAATAAACTTCAGGTCTATTAAATAAGTAGTCAATAAAGTATGGTGAATTTGATATTTCTTTTGGCTAAGCAGATATCAAATCACAAGTGTTTGTAGACTTTGTAGTTAGATGCACTGTTCATGACTTTATCGATTCACTTTCTCCTTCTTTATCACCCCATTGAATATTGTATGTCAACGGAGCCTCCGAGAGCTCTAGTTTTTGGGCAGGGATGTAGCTTTTCTCTTCCCAACATGGAACTTTAGAATATGAGTTTTGTATGATGTTCTTTGCAACCATTAATGACATCGAGTATGAAGCTCTCATGGTAGGGCTGAAACTCATCATTGATTATGGAGCGCAAAATCTAAAGATTCATGCAGACAACTCATAAATTCTGAAGAAGAGGGTGGAAACTTCGATGCTCAAAATCTACAGTTGGTGCAATACCTCAACTTTGTGAAGTCACTTCTTTTTTATATCAATGCACATCAAATTATGCACATATATTGGGAATAGAATGCTCAAGTTGATACTTCTTTCAAGCTTAGAACTTCATCAACATGAGATTTTTATAGGAGATGTATTAAGGATATGCACTTTCTCAGTATTCATTATCCATGAGAAATACAATCCATTGAAAAATCAGATGAGACAACTTGGATGGACTTCATAATCTTCTTACGGGATGGGACACTGCTTGAAATTCAATGGCCACGATTATTCAACTATTTTTGTTTTAATGGATGTATCCATTTTTTGGAAGGCTGCAATTATAGTTTGTGAGAATTTTCTTAGTTCATGACCTTAGGGGGGTGTTAATGAGTCGAATCAAGCTGAAATCAGGGGGTGTCCGAGCTCGACTCGCGAGTCAATTAGCAAGCTCGAACTCGAGCTCAAACTTTAGTCGAGCTCGAGCACGACTTGTTACCCAAAATCAAGCTCGTCGAGTCGCTCGATTTTGTGCCGGATCCGCATCTGCCATTTCGATCCGCATCCATTATCACTTTCCCTCCTATGTTCGCCATTTGGATCCCATATTTTGAAATTAGGACAGCTTGCATTAATGAAAAGCAATCTTCACTTAGAACGAGGCAATGAGCTGTGTAAATTTTTTTTAAAACTTCGTGTATGCATTAACTGGACAACTGCCATCTTTTTTTGTTCTTGAAACTTGAAAATTATGATATGCTGTCTAAATAAATAATTAATCATCTTTGAGCTGTTTATTAATTTGGCCCTTGATTAGTGGGCAGAGACTCTAAAATATAACTATTACATTAATATATTATAATAAATGTTATATGTAATTTTAATTAAATAATTAATTAATTATGAGCAGGCTTGCAAGTTCACGAGCCTAGCCTCATCAAGCTCGAACTTGACTCGTGAGCTCGATAATCTCAGCTCGTGAGCCCATAAACGAGTCGAGCTCGAGCTGGATTGGCTCACTTAAATCACTACATGACCTTGGTGGGATGTCCAAATTCACATCTAATAAGTGGTTGTCTTATAATTTTTTCTAAGTTATAATTTACGTTTTAATTTTTTATAAGGACTCAATGCATATTTTAGATAAATATAGGTTTCGATGTTCAAACATAGTAGGGCAAGTGATACAGCATCTAAAAATCCATTTAGCTGGACACAAATCTTGAGAGAATATTCAATTGGAAACTCTCAAAATTAAATTCGGAATTATCCAAACTCTAATTTTAATAAATTTATAGGTAAACTGAACATCTTGACATGATGAATCTAACAACATCAAAAGTGATCAATTTCGAACTCAAATGACTCAAATGAGTCAAAATCAATAACTGGAAGTATGGTTAGAAATTTCAAGACATTAATTTAAAGATCAAATGATCTTCAATTTTTGCACTCAAAATGAGTATTTCGATGAGAGAAATCTAAGGAGACCAAGTTCACTTAATTATGAGATCATTAAGACAATTAAATACTAAAAAATACTCTATTATTAAAATAATCAATATGAGCTATTTGATGGAGTTTTTTGATATTTTGGCTAAATTTACTAAAATTTAACTCTAAAAATTATAAATAGAATTCATTCTACATGTGAATAAGATTTTGATTTGAAATTGGAAAGAGCTAGGAAATCCGAAGAACTCTAGAGCTATATCTGAAGTTCGACATAGGTGATTGCCACCCGCAACCATTGTCATTCGGTCGATGTCTCCCATCCTTCATCATTCGATTGTTGTCACTTGAACGTTGTCCTTTGTCTATTGTTGTCCAACCATTGTTGCTTGCTAAATACTAAAAAGCACTCTATTATTAAAATAATCTACATGAGCCATTTGATGGTGTGTTTTGATATCTTGACTAAACTTACTAAAATTTGTTTCTAAAAACTTATAAATAGACATTTATATTCTCTATGTGAATGAGATTTAATTTGAAATTGAAACGAGCAATGAGATTTAAAGAACTATAAAGCTCTGTTCGAAGTTCGATGCAGGTGATTGCCACCAGCAACTACTGTCGTTCAGCCGATGTAATCATTTGATTGTTGTCACTTAAATGTCATCCTTTGTCTATTGTTGTCCAATCGTTGTCACTTGCTCGTCATTGCCCATTTACCATCATCTGATTGTCATTTGTTCAATCATGGTCGTCTGACCATTATTGCATGATTATCACTTATTCAACCATTGCCGTCCAACTAACATAATTTGATTAACATCATTATTCTTTCACTTTATCTCCAGGAGATGCATTCTTCTCCATATTCATAAGAATTTGAGCTTGTATTACATAATGTTAACATCTCTTCTCCAGTTGAAAGCAAGATTAGACTCCTTAAAACTTGTTGCAATGGTGGATCGTTTCAACTGGGCCATACCTTTTGATTTTTTTTACTTTCTAGACTTTCCACAAAAAATTTTAGTATACATTGTTCAAGTTTTTTTTTTCTCCTCCATTGTATGGAATATCTTTTGAAGCTAAGCTGAAGAGTTTCTTCATATTCTTTGCATTGAATGGCTGTTAGGTGATGTATTCTTTCCTTGACCGATTGATCAACTTGGGGTTCCCCAGGACAAGGGATTTTCAAGGAGTCAACCCCAACAGTTTCGATGGGCATGGAAACTACAGCATAGGAATGCGAGACCAGAGCGTCTTCCCTGAGATAAGATACGAAGCCCTTGGAAAGACTAGAGGCATGGATGTTTGCATCACCACATCAGCAAATACAGATAACGAGGCACAGAGGCTGCTCGCTCTCCTTGGCATGCCATTTAAAGAGGGAGCAGGTCCTACCGTTCTCTTGCGAAGGAAGAGGAAGAAAGCTCATCATTTTGACTCGAAGATTAAAGGAAAAAAATGAAGAGAAACTACATTTCAATCTCTTTATTCCGTCTAGTTATTGTAGATTTTTTCCTATTGTTAAAAATCTTATGCTTTGATTGAAAAACTCGTATGCAATGAGATTTGGTGATTTAGTTCACAGCTTTCTTATTGTTTTTTGAGCTAAAAATTTTGTTGCTTAATGGCCTCATCAGGAGAGATTATTCTGTGCGTACATCGGACACAGTTTATCATCCAGAGGCTAATCAGGTGAAGCCACTTCATCCAGTACCGAGCTGCGTACCAAATAAGAGATGATGTGACGCATTTTCATTAGGCCGTAAATTCATCACTCAGTATGAATTTTTTTTTACAGGGTAAGGATCTCTGCGATCAATGCATCCGTTGAAAATGTAATCCTTGTAGCGATTGATTAACTTGCAGGGCCTTACATTGTGATTAGCATAGAATAATAAAAGGAGCACTTATACAACTTACCCATACACATAACTAGCATTTAACTCTTAAAATTCACTCAACAATTAAGACGTGTAATGGACGGCTAAAAAAGATAAAAAAATATGATTTTAATTAAATAAGCATAAATTTAACAAACAGTATATTTTATAATTTATTATTATAAAATAAATTTCCTAGTCATAAGAACATAGTGTATTATAACTTCATCATAAACTATAAATTAAAACATGTAAGAGTGTATCGGTTTCTGTTCCCGTTCAATAAATATGATATCAGATAAACTATTCATTAATTAAAATAATAATAAATTTTAAATTATTATTCAAAAAGGGTGACTAATAAGTTTAGAATATTTTATTTTTTAAACTTACACCCGTTAACCTAAATAACGCAGCAGCGAACCAATTCTACTCAACCACACTGCCCGACCCTCACGCTTTCAATAGGCAACGGAATCGTCGGGTAGTCGCATGGCTTGCCGTTCTCCGGCAGCTCATCACATGCCTTCGGACTTACATAACTGCTCACTCCCTCCACCAAACTACAATTCCACAGCACCTTCTTCGGCTTCGCGCTCAGCTCCGCCGTCACGTTCGAAATGCAAATATCCGTAAACGCGTCTTTCTCAATGCCTTGGAGATTCGCCACCATGGTCACATTTTCAGCAAAGAAATCGCTATAATTAATCCGCGTAATCTCGGGGAGGGCGTCGGGGTCCCAATGATCGTCGGCGTGGTTCCCGTAGTTGCCTGTTATCCAGAAAACGTATTTCATAGTGTGGAGGCTCACGCCCTTGACGAAGATGTCGCGGACAAAGCCGCCGCGGCCGACGGCGGTCTTGATGCGGACGGCGGCTTCGGAGTTGACGGCGACGATGTTCTCGGCGCGGACGTCTTGGATGCCGCCGGACATCTCGCTGCCGAGGGCGATGACGGCGCTGTCGGGGGAGATGCAGGTGACGCCGCGGATGAGGATGTGCTCGCTCGGCCGGCCGTATCTTATGCCGTACTCGTCCCAGCCGCTCTTGATGGCGATGCAATCGTCGCCGGACACGATGAAGCTGTTCTCGATCAGGACGTTGGAGCATGAGTCTGGGGCAAGGTTAATAGGTTATTACGCACACCTTAGTTTTTTTTCAGCGGAGGTACTCTTCGGGAGATCAAAAGAGAGACGAATGAAAATGACAGTATTTATATATTTTAATGGGGATTCACATACATATCAAGCCAAAGGGTCAATCCGAGGGAAAATTATTAGGTTCGGACAACTGATATAGAGATTCATTCGGATTTCGCTATGTCTATAGTAAAAATACAGTTATTATAGCAGCTGCACTTTGACTGTATACAGAGAGAAATCCGGATGATTCTTTCTGTCCGGTGTCCACACTTAATAATTTGCTCAATAGGAGGTGAAATTATTCTATGCGGAGTATGGATGTAGAGAATCTTTCTTATCACAACATACCCTATGCATAAGCTCTGACTACGCTCTGCGTATATACTGCCTATTTGAAGATACACAGTAAATAAATAGCAAATAATTAGTTGTGAGGATTTGCTGCTTATTTGTTGTGTATCTACAAATACGCATAGTGCAAGCAGAGTATAAACAGAGTGTAAGCAGAGCATATGCAGTGCTTCCAATAATCCGGAAGATTCTCTACGTTCGAAATCCGCATAGAATAATTTTCCCGACAGGAGAGCCTATGACTACCATAAATGAATTTCTTGTAAGATACTGAAACTTACCTGGATCGATGCCATCGGTGTTAGGGGAGTCTACAGGAGCCAGAACGGTGACACTTGAAATGATGACATTGCTATAGATGGAAAATAGAACTAATTAGTTAATGATTGACCAGCTTATCACATTTGAATTTGACAAGGTAAAGCGCGCAAAGAACTAACTTGCAGTAAACCGGATGCAGAGTCCATGCTGGAGAGTTAATGAAGGTGAGATTGGAGATGAGGATGTTCTCCGAATGCATGAGCTCAAGAAGGTATCCGCGAGTAGAGTCAAGCTCCTTTTTGTGAAATTTATCCCACCAGAACTGGCCTTGGCCATCGATCGTCCCATTTTCACCTATTATTTTATGCGTAAATCATAACAAGTTATGTACTAAATGTGAATAAGAAGATAGAGAGATAGGGGGAGGGGGCTTTGTTATGCCTGTGATGATGACATCGGTTAGATTAGACCCCCAGATGAAGTTGCTGTATCTTCCACCGGTGGTATCCCTTCCTCTTCCGTAGGACGGCAAGGGCTCAACGATTGGATACTCGTCAAAGTCCTGTGGGCAACAAGTTAACTTATTGAAGTAATGTTATTAAACATTTAATTTTGCAGGAGACGATCAAATTTAGGAAAACATAGGTGTCGCTTGAATTTATCGGCATCTAAATATAAAAAATTATCTAATAAAAATAAAAAATCAATAAAATTTTAAAACTAATAATAATATTAAATCATTAAAAATATTAAAATGATTTTGATCCTTTATTATTATATTAATTTATAGAATATATCATTAAGGGCCTATTTGAATTCATTTTGTTTTTTTAAAGCATATTTGTTTGGGGTATTTTAACTGTTTTTATTTTTAAAATAAATCAAATTGTTTTTTTTAATACTTAAAATGTTTATGTATTTTTCAAACTAATTATCATCATTGTAGCTGTCTCACTACCAATTGTCGCCACCATTACATAAATAAACTTTTTTCACTTTTCAATTAAAATAAAATTAGCATATTTAAGAATATCAAATATATTATATTTTACGTGAAATAATAAATAAATTAAAATTAAAATAAAATATAAGTAATCCCAAACAATCCATAAAATCAAGGGCGGATTCACCTTAAAAAAAAATTTAAAAAAAATTATTATATGATTTTTAGGTAATTTGTCTCCCTCAATATATTTTTTAGTCTTTATTATCAGGGGCAGCTGCAAAATCCTCGAAACAAATTTTACTTATAAGAATATTTATGAAAAAAAAAACTCTAAACTTTTACTTATATAGAGACAGGCGGACAAAGTCTTTGATTGTTAAGTAGAAACTCAACTCTCCTATAATTGTTATGGGATGAAAGGTGTTTGATAGAGAAGATGATTGACGAATTAAAACAGAATTTGAAAGAAGTGGAGCTTGCTCAAGATGATCTTTAGGAGGATAAGCTTTGAATCTTGAAGCTGAGATAACCATCGACGTTATATCTGCTAATCCTTGAACTGAACGGCTAAAGGTTGTCGTGCAATTTTTCAAAAAATAAATGCAACACCTAGTCCTAATGAAGCCATGGTCGTGTAACCCTGACGTTCGAAATTAAAATTTGCTAATTTAGTATTTCCTAATGACCTGGTCACGTGTTATAGCACGCAATTAATGTTAAGCATTAGAAACTATTTTTAATTAATGAAGGAAACAATAATGTTGACTTAAATGTGATGCTGACGTACGATGTCCTTCTTCCTTAATTTGGGCAATTGAAACACAAGACGTTAATCTTTTGTTTATAGTAATACGGGAATTTTTGTATACATATGTGCTAAGTTAAAATGACAATTTTCATGTTCTCAAACAGTTTGGAATTTTGTCTCACAATAACATTTAGGTATGATTGTAACTTAAATTAAATTCTAAATTTATATGTGAAATAAATTTATTTTTAATCATAAATTTATATAATTATTACATCATTATTATTTTATTTTATTTTTTTAGTTGAATAATTTTAATGTTTATTATATCATCCAATATTTAATTTAATTTTTACAATCTTCGAAAGATGGAAAGGCCGTGTTTAATTTAAATACGGTCTCATATTTTGACTTTAAAAATTTACCCATCCTTATATCATCATTATTATTTTATTTTATTTTTTTAGTTGAATAGTTTTAATGTTTATTATATACGGTCTCATATTTTGACTTTAAAATTTTACCCATCCTTATATTTATGGCAGTGATAGATTTTTTCGTGTTTGGTCATCGACCAAAATTTCTCAAATCTATTTTTTTATATGTAGCACTTTTAGTTCCTTGTGACAATCACTTTATTTTACTTGAAGCACAGTTATTACAAAAATTAAAAGAAGTTTAATACCACTAAAATTATATTAAAGTTGTTGGGTACAAGAACAGATGAACATACCCTAGAAGAGACTGAATTAGATCGCTTTGCAATTTGTTTAAGAAATTGGATTATATAAAATTCTATTTCATTGTACGGCACGTTTGGTAGTCTTCCAAACTTAAATCGAAACAAACAAAAATCATAAGAAACTCAATTAAAACATCAAAATTCAACCAGAGTCATAAAAAATTACTATGAAAAGTTTGTCTCGATGAATTTAAGTGTTACTGAAATATAATATTTACAAGAATGATTTAAATCAAACTTTTTACGGACTACATAAAATTTTATCTAATGGATAAGATGAATAATGAAATTTACGCACAACAAATCGGCAAAACAAATCCATTAGAGCGGCGCCAAAAGAAACCCGTGAACCCTTCCCAAACTAATCCTATGGCCTCTAACGACTCACCCACGTCCGCAGGGTCCACCACATTCCTTTCCGTTAGACAAAATCGATATCAGAAATTCCCAAATCCCTCTGCACGTGAATCAAAGGAGGTGAGCGTACCGTGCTTGCGACAATCTCAGCATGTTCTTGGAGGAAGAGGGTGAAGTGGCTGGTCAGATTAAAAGGTCCGGTGAGCCACCGCCCCGGCGGAACGATGAGCATGCTTCCGCCATCGGAGGCGTATTGGCTGAGATTAGCGATGGCGTCGCGGAACGCTTTGGTGTTCGATGTGACCCCATCACTTACTCCGCCGAACTGTACCAGATCCGCTGCGTATGCTCGGCATCCGCCCGGCGCGCCATCGCCGACAGACCACAGCTGTTGGCCGAACTCCTCTGCACGCCGGCACTCCGCCGTCCACACAAATGCGACCATCGCGATGATCTGCGGAAATCGTATCGAAAATTTACAAAAACTGGAAGGTTTGGACATTAAAGAAGGAGAAATCAAGAGCAAGAAAGGAAAATACCGAGAGTCGAATTGATCTGCTTCGGATTCCGAAGGGTTCCATGAGTGCCGAGGAGAGAAAGGTTAACGGATTTGTAGAAGGCAGGAAGAATCGCAAGAGAGATGGGTTGGTATTTATAGGCGGGAGATCGGGTTTTGCATTGAAGCGATGCAATATTTGGATTTACGAATTGCCATTACTTTCCGTGCAATAATAGAAGGTAGTGTGCACCCACACGATCTCCCACTACGAAGATAGTTTGATTGGAAATATTAAGATTCGTAGGTAATTTAAATGTATTATAATATAATATATTTAAAATTATTTATTTAATCATAAAATAAATCCAAGAGTTTGTTTTTTATATTTAATTATAAATAAATAAAATCTTAATTAAAAAAGAAATAAATAAACTAATATTGAGTCGGGATGTAGGTCTCATGAGGGTTGTTATATGGAGCAATTATTAGGTCCTTTCACTGGATGTAGAGGAAGGTTCGGTTTTAGGCAAAAATAGGTCAAAAAGTACAAATACCGAGTTTTTTGAAAAACTCGGTATTTTTTCAAAAAACTCGGTATTTGCACTCTTTGAGGCAAAACCGAATCTTCCTCTAGGTCCTATGAGGTTATGACAGCTCATCTCAGGGGTTTGTTTGGAAAGAAAATTTTTAATAATTTTGTACTTTTTTTTTAAGCAGCAGAAAAAAGCCGTCTCAAACCTAGCCTCAATCTCTTGGTTGGGAGCTTTGACTATCGACCAAGAAATTTTGGAAACTATATGAGATTGATGAGCGACAAAGTGCAGCATATTATTTGTGCTGTATATTGTTGGTGTTGTTACGGGATAGGTTGATGAGCAAGTATCAACTACAAAAGTGAGGGTGCGGAAAGCTGGTTGGTTCATGGGTAGCACACGTGCAATGCAATGAGCATCACCAAATGAGATGCCAGAGCTAAGTCCATCACAAGAGGTTGTGAAGGCTTAGGCTTTGTTTGGGATTGCTTTTTTACTGCTTTGTAAAGCTATTGTTTAGTAAAAAAAATTCTGAAAAACAGAAAAAAAAAATAGTGATATAAAACTGTCCCAAACGAAGCCTTACTCATATGTGGTGTATTTGAAAATGATGTGAATCAACTGCATTTCATGCCCACTGAAACTCAAACTAATCATTAAAAATTTTGAATATAATGGAAAAAGTGGTTTTAATTGCAATTAGCAAAATTCAAATTAGCTCCCAATTATGTGACAAGAAAGTTAATATTTGATTGATTCGTTATGTAGAGAATGATTATCAGAGGAAATATATTTATTATAATTTATATGAGAGATTTTTACAAAACTTTATTAAAAAAGAAAGTGAATTAACACTTAGAATAAAGAGAATAACACAAAATAAGAAAGATTAATTTAATTTATTTTATTTCTCCAATACGTTAATCATTCTGTTATATATTTTTCCTGCTATATTTGATCTATCCTCTTTGCCTTTAACGTTTATTAGCTGCTGGGTTATTTTTATGTTACTTTCTATTGTTTTTTTCAAAAATTTTATAGTGAAAAGCTATTTTTTATAATCAAAATAGTTAAGTTGATTCCTCATAGGCTTCTTTTGGGATGGCTTTATTACTGCTTCTTAAAATAAATTTTTAGTACAAAAATTAAAATTTTTATACTAGAAAACTACTTTAAAAGTAATAAGAAAGTCGTCCCAAATAAAATCATAATTACTTTATAATCAACTTGTAAAAAACTACGATCATCCCAAATAAATTTATCCTTTTTACCTGACTTGTTTTACTTGCTTCATGTTTTATTTTCTTTAGTTGTTTTCTTTGTGTCTAATGAAATATTGATCCTCGCAAAAACTTTTGAAGGTACTAACCTACTAGACCTTCGGCTGCAACTATGATGTCTAGTGAGGGTCTTGTTGTTGACCGATATCTTTTGGAGATAAGTTTTTATGCCTAATCTCTATAAGTGTATTACCTATCATATTTAATCTAACCTCTATAAGCTTTTCAAGAGCTTACGTTACCTAACCTTTACATATATCTCTTTACAATTGTTGCAGGCTAGAATATATGCGGCGATAGAGTTAGAATATTTTTCGTCTTAGTCTTATACGGATATCCAATACACAAATAGAAAAAAAAAAACGCCATAATTTTTACATGGAAACCCTGAAAAAAGGAAAAAAACACAGGTTCACACCCAATTGAAAGATTCTATTAGTGTTTACTTAGATTACAAGTGGTTGACTCGTCCCTGAAATTGAGAATGATCGTATTACAATAATCATCTCACGGGTTGAAATTCAGTTACAAATGGAGATTGAAAATCTGGCGACATTCTAGTGGTCGGGCAAAAATCTGGCTTCAATTGACGATCGGGCAGAACTCTGGCATCAGTCTACTGTTGGGCAGAACTCCGGTGCCAGTCGGCAGTCTGGCAGAATTTCGGCATCAGTTGGTAGTCATGTGAAAATCCGACGGTGGTCAGGGTGTCTCTTCCTTCTCTTCTTGCTTCATTGCTTGATTCCGACGTCGGTCAACTGCCGGGTGAAAGTCTGACGGTGGTCGAGGAGTCTCTTCCTTCTCTTTCTTTCTTCTCTTCTCTTCCTTTCTTCATTCTCTTCTTGCTTGGGATCCCTTCTCAAGATAAATGAGAGGTCTATTTATAGTTTTTTTAGAGTGACATGTCTAGTAAATAAGAGGAAGATCATGGATAAATTTGGAGTGGTTTGAATGGACGGCAGATGTTGAATCCCTTAATTGTGGATCGTTTACTAGGCATTTGAAGGCCCTAATGATATCAGAATTCGACGATCTTGGGCTCGTTGGATTCGTCTCATCGAGCCGCTTAATTTGATTATAAGTATGTCACGCCTAAAAAATATTTGGTAATCCAAATTATCATTTGAGCCCTCCAAATGTGTTTTTGGTCTTTGATTTGGACCAATTTGGGCTTAGATTGAGCTGAATTTGGTGTCGTTGTGTTCATATTTCCGAGACGTTCAGCTCGACTGTAAGTTTGTTGAAATCGAAGTTCATACGGTTTCCTATTTAATTTTTGAAGTTTTTAACTTGATTTTTTCTCAAGATTCGTGCCCGATCGAGATAATTTTTTGATGATATACCAACAATATATCACATAATCTTTATAATTTTGTTCAACTTTAAATATTATATATAAGGAAGTCATTTCACGGTATTAGTAGGCATCACGCATTCTTCTCTTTGAAAGAACTAAATATAGGGACAGAAGTTTAAGAAGTGTCAATGAGTAATCAAAGCTTAGTAGTTTTCTCAGCTAGTGTCAAATAGCGGATTTATGTATTAAATGAACGTCAATGATGACTAAATGCCCAAAGGTGGCAACCAACAATTAGATCAAGCCTTTTAAAGAGGAATATGTGATTGTCACAAGGGATGATGATAGACTAGGTGGTCTAATATAGTTGTCTAAGGTTTTCATTGAGTTTGGAGAAAGATTTTGTTTTATTCTCTCTCCCTCTCTCCTCTCTACCCCTCTCTCTCTCTCTCTCTCTACCCTTATAGATACACATATATAATTGTTATGTCATGGAACATGCACGGCGGTAGAGAGATATAGTGTTTAGCATTTAAGTTTTGTACGAAGATTCAGGACACATACAAGTGGAAAATTTTGAAAAGAGAGAAAAATCATGGGGTATATCTTAGTTGAAATGAATCCACTAACATTTTTAGTTGATTACATAGTGCATTATATGATGGGAGTTGGAAGAATCTAGTGATATGAGAGTTGTTCTCAAGAGAGTGTTGGCCTGTTCATTTGGTCGGTAAGACCGTAGTCACACTACGTTGGTCGAAGGAATCATAGTTAGCGGGCGACATAGGCAGAGGGATTGTAGTCAGCGGGCGACGAAGCTCATGGGGACTTTAGTCAGTGGGTGACGGAAGTTGAAGGGATCTTAGTCGGCAGAGGTCGAAGAGTACGGTCTGGAATGGAGGTTTGAGGGACCGTAGTCGACATGGAATGGAGGTTGGAGGGACCGTAGTCGGCGGGCGATGGAGGTCGAAGAGACTATAGTGAATGGGCAACAATGGTTGGAGGGACTGTAGTCGGTGGGCAACGGTGGTCGGAGAGACCGTAGTCGGTGGGCGACGATGGTTGGAGGGATTGTAGTAGGGAGGCAACGGCGATTGAAGGGAATATACTTGGCAGGCGATGTGATCGTAGGGACTATAGTTGGTGGATGATAGTAGGGAGGGATTATAGTTGGTAGGCGATGGTGGTTGAAAGATGGTCGGGTGGAAGTTTGATGGCGGTCAACTGGTAGGTGGAAGTTGAATGGAGTTTGGTGGCCCGGGTGGAAGTCAAGTGGCAATTAGCGACCAGATGGAAGTCTAACGTCTATCGTTGGCCTGGAGATGGTATGGCGGGGGGCAGTGGTGGTTTGACGACGTTCGTCGGGCATGTGATGGTTTGGTGACAATTGGCAGTAGCGTAGTGCTCAATAGGTAGTAGACGGAAGTTAGCCGACGATGGTGCTTGGGTAGAACTCTAGTGTGACACCTACAGACTTAGCATTCAATTCAGCTAGCTCCAATCTGATTAGAAAAAGGTAAGGTTTTGAAATTGATTGGGTGTACTTTAAAATGTGTCCCAAGTGTTACGTGTGAATGTCAACAAAATCTGAGAATGTCACTTTTGGAACGCAGCGGTGTTGCACTCAGCAAAGACACTAAAAAGTGACATTGCGGTGCCAGCTCTTGGGTTGTTGCAGATTTTTGTGTGCCACAACACTCTGATTAGAGTGTCATAGTGATAGGCCATTATGAACTTATTAAATATTAAAATTTTCCATTTAATCCAATCATTTGCATTCAAGCTGCCAACATGCAAGAGAGAGAAAGAAAGAGGTTGTGTCAAGGATTATTCTGGTGCTTATAAGATATGTTCTTGTGGCTATAAGCAATGTTATGGTGCTATGAGTATAAAAGGGAGACATAAGGGCCCAAAATCCTTTGAGATTTTGTTTGGGACCGAGATATGTGATATAAATTGCTTTATGATTTATCTGTTCAACATTATTGTTTAAATAAATTGGAGAATTACTATGCTTTGATTTCCTTTCCCAAAACATTCAGTGATTTATTCACCTATTTAACCTATTGTTAAATATTCAAAAATATTAATAAAAAAGAGAGAATTTAAAAATTCAAATTGGCTTGTGTGATTTGTTGAGATGTTGTAGCTCATTGTTGGTTGCTTGTGGTTTTTAGGGTCTAAGAAAGGGAAGGAAGTTGATTAATAGTTCATGATTTGATCTGACTTGATAAGTATTTTGCTATTTTGATTTTTGTACAATCATAATTAGTTAAATTTTTAGTTATTTAGCTCTTACATGTAGCAAGTAGTGTAGTGTATATATTTATTTTGATGAAATAAAATAACCTTTGAAGATGAGTTTATTTTTAGTATTTTGATATTTTAGTAGCTATGTTGTCTATAGTTTTATTTGAAATGAAATTGAAAGAGACTATGAACATTCCAAAACTAGATATTGGGAATTGTCTGTCATAGCTCAAAACAATGTGATCTATCTCGATCGGGTTGGGGTGTGAGTGTGTGACATCTAGGATCCTAGAAACCTCAAAGCTATCTTCCATCTCCAGCCAAAGATCCAGGCTTTCAAATGTCTAAGCCCTTTTGCAAATATAGAGAAGATTTGGGGCAAATTCAAAGTGCTCCCTCAGATGACCCATATTGATGTCCTCAATCATAGAGTATTTGTCAAACATTTGTGTGCCAAAATGATGTTAGAACTAAACTATTTTGGTCTTGTTTGATTCGTCTTGTCGAACCGCTCAATTGGACTAGAAACATGCTATATTTGAGTATCATTTAATCATTCATTTTATGTTTTGAACCTTCCAAATGTACTTCAGCCCCTTGATTTGGAGCAATTTGGACTCAAATTGAATTGATTTTAGTGTCATTAGGTTCGTCTCTTCGAGTTTGTATGATCCCAAATTTAATTTTGTAACTTTTCAACTTGGATATGCCTCGAGATTCGTGTATGATCAAGACTTTTTTTTTTTTTGTTACATATCAATAATCAAGTTGATATCAAACAAACTCATATTTGTTTTATTTGTTATGAAAATGATCTTGTAAAATAAGTAAAATACGTGATAATCATCAAGCTAAATATAATTAAATAGAAATAAGGAGCTTTTTTTATAGACGTACAAGACAGCTTAAAGTTATAAGTGGGCTTGTTTTAACCACACCAGAAATTATTCTTTGCGGAGACCGGATGCAGAACGTTGTCCGGAGACTAAACAAAATGTGTCACGTCAACAGTACTGAGCCGCGGTACCAAGCAATACCAAGCCGTGATGCTAAGCAAGAGATGATGCGACACATTTGATTGATTTCCAAATGACATTCAACATCCACACATGATAATTAATACAATTACACACTTAGACCAAAACAGTAGAACTCCAATACACCATTTCTTCATTGTTCAAAATAAATAGATCATTGAATAGGTACAATTTATAAATGTTCAACACTTTAAAAGACCAAAAGAAGTCAAATCATTGGGGAAAAATAATGATACAGAAACTTTATATGGACCGTTAATTCAACGTGTCGTTGTTTTAAAGTCGAAATATAATCGAATTTCTAATAAGTCAAACAAATAACTAATCTTAAAAAATAGGACCAGCAGCAAGAATCTCCTCTGTCAGCTTCGATTCTCCACCGACAGAATAGTTAGCAAACACCTCAAAGTTCTTCTTAAACAAGCCAGCCAGCTTCTTCAAAGTTTCTCTGTAAGCCTCCTTATCATCCCAAGCATTCATCGGATCAAGAATCTCCGACGGCACTCCATCAACCGCCGCCGGAATCTCCAACCCGAACACCTCCGTCTTCTTATACTCCGCATTCAAAAGGCTCCCAGAGTGAATTGCATCAATAATCCTACGAGTGTTAACCAGTTTAATACGGCTTCCCACTCCATACCTTCCACCACACCAACCGGTATTGACGAGCCACGCCGTGGTGCCGTATTTGCGCATCTTGTCGGCCAACATGGCCGCGTATTTAGTCGGGTGAAGCATAATGAAGGCCGCGCCGAAACAAGCGGAGAACGTGGCTTGCGGCTCTTTGATTCCGTCCTCAGTCCCGGCAACCAACGCCGTGTAGCCGCTGATGAAATGGTACATTGTTTGTGCGAGAGTTAGCTTGCTCACCGGAGGGAGAACACCGAAAGCGTCGCAGGCGAGGAGAATAACGTTCGTCGGGTGGGGACCGACGCAGGGGATTTTGGCATTTGGGATGTACTCAATCGGGTAAGATGCGCGAGTGTTCTCTGTGACGGATTTATCGGCGTAATCGACCTCACGGCTGTGCTCGTCGAACACGACGTTTTCGAGCACGGTGCCGAATTTAATCGCGTTGAATATATCAGGTTCTTTCTCCGGCGAAAGATCGAGACACTTGGCGTAGCAGCCGCCTTCAATGTTCGAAACTCCGGCGTCGCTCCAGCAATGTTCGTCGTCGCCGATGAGGAAACGGTTGTGGTCGGTGGAAAGAGTTGTTTTTCCGGTGCCGGATAATCCGAAGAAGAGGGCGACGTCGCCGATTCTTCCCATATTGCATCCGGAGTGCAGGGAAAGGATGCCTCTTTGAGGCATTAGATAGTGCATTAAGCTAAAAAGGCCCTTTTTCATCTCGCCGGCGTATTGTGTGCCGAGAATGACCATTTCACGCCGGCATAGATTGAGGTTTATGGTTGTTGATGAAGTCATATAATTTGTGTATCGGTTGCAGGGGAACTGACCGGCGTTATAAATGGTGAAATCCGGAGTGCCGAAATTTTGTAAGTCTTCGAGTGTGGGCCGGATGCACATGTTGTGCATGAAGAGGGAGTGGTAGGCTCGGGCAGAGACGATTCGGACTTTGATGCGATTGTTACTATCCCAATTAAGAAATTGGTCGTTAACAAATACAGTTTCCAGTGAATTTAGATAATCAACGGCTCTTTCGCGATTAACGAGGAAAGTGTGTTCGTCCATTTCAATATTGGGGGAGCCATTGCCCCACCAGAGCTCGGCCGCTGTAGTCTCGTCCTTGACCACTCTCTTGTCTTTTGGCGAGCGGCCCGTTTTAGCTCCCGAGAGGGTGGCGATGGCGCCACTTGAGGTTATAAAGGAGCCTTTCTCGTGCTTAATGGCGTGCTCGTAGAGCTCGGCGGGGGAGAGATTATAGAGGATGTGGGTGAATTTGAGGGCGCTATCGCTGGTGCTGAGCGATGCGGGGGTTAGGTAGTCGAGTTGCTGTTTGACGGATTTGACTTTGGGTCCCGTCTCGCGTGTTAGGGAAGCGAGAGAAGCGCTTATGGATTGGAGATGAAGCTTTTGGAGATCTTCGTCAGGGTTATGAGTTTTTGGTGTGGTTGGAACGGATTTCTTTTTTTGAAGGGAATGGAGCTCGTCGATGGTTTGAGCTTTGACGACAGGCGAGCTGTCGTCGTGGCAGAGATGGTCTTTTGATGCAAAGGCCTTCCCGTCGGTGGTGGTGTTGAGGAAGAGAACTTCGCCGTTGGTCGCCATTAATATACGTGAGGAGCAGGAGAAAGATCAATTTTTTGAAGGGAGGGATGACAAGGAAGAGTTTTTGGTTGGTATTTAAAGGTGTTTTGGTGTTGAGGGGGGTTTGAACCCAAAGGTGGGAAGGTTAGTTAAGGCGTCTGTATATGAAGAAAAATTGTTCTAATGGCGTGTTGGGTTGCGAAGAAGAAGGGGGGAGGAAACAGAGTCCAGATCTGAGTGACGATCTTGATCCTTATCCTCATCCATTGGGTGCAATTCGAGGTGTTTTATACCTATATGTAACCGTATCAGGCAATCAGCTGCAGGGGATAAAATGAAAATTTTTAATGCCGGGACGGTTCTTTATGTTGTTTTCCTCTCTCTAATTTTGGAGGGAAATCTAATCGTATTTTATGGAGGAAATAAACAGTAAAAGAGATCAAGCTGACAGTTGATATGTACGTAATTAGTTGTGAATTTTTCTGAAAAAGCTGATTTCTGCTGGTTCGGGAGAGTTTCAGTTAAGAACTTGTATAATTCAAATATGCTTCATTTTAATGTCATGATTTAGGCAAATTATTAGGCGTGGATACCGGACATCGGAGGGAGAGAACTGTTCGATTTTCTCTCTGTCTATAGTAAAAGCACAGTCAATGTGCAGTTACTGTAGTAATTGTTCTTTGACTGTGTTTTGACTATGCTTTTACGGTAGATAGAGAGAAAACCGGACGACCGTCCGTTATCCGTACCTAAAATTCCTCCATGATTTATCAAGTCCTGCACATAACAATTGAGGCTTTGTTTGGGACGGCTTCCTTATTGCTTCGTAAAACAATTTTTTAGTAAAAAAAATAAAAATTTTGTTCTAAAAAGCTGCTTTCAAAAGCAGTAAAAAAGTCATCCCAAACTAAACTTATTGTAGTATATAAATGTATCATGCACCAAATTGCCCTTAAAGAATTTTCTCAAGCACAACTATCCCATACAAGTAAATCATGGTTATGTCAGTAAGTACGTACCCTTCTTATATTTTCATATACTTATAGAAAATCTCAATTATATAAGCAACTTATTGTGGCCAAGTAAGCCTTCCCTGTTACATAAATAACTTCAAAACATTTTGCAGTAAGTTGATCGCATAGCTTAGAAGTCGAGCCGCATATGTCCACAGATGTGTATAGTAAACAAGGATTGGAAGCAAGAGAGGTTCAAGAAATATTTTATAGGCCTTCATCATGAACTGGAACAGGACATGAGGCTTCTCTAGAAACCCTGTAGTCAAAATCAAGTAGTTCATTAGCTATTTTTAAATTGTTTATTAACAAGTAAACAAGAAGATGGGAAAAATAGGAGAAAGAATATGTTGAACTAAGGCTTCATTTAGGATGACTTTTTTATTGCTTTTTAAAAGTTTTTGTACTATAATTCTGTTTTAGAAAACAGTAAGAAAGTCGTCCCAAACGGAGCCTAAATCTAATTCTAGATATCAGATATTTTCATCAAATTTCAAAATTTTTCCTGTTTTTTACATATGAAAAATAAAGGGAATTAGTTTTAGTTCGATTAAAAATTTGTCTTAGAAAATGAAATAGTCGTGCTGCTCTTAACATTATAGCTTAAATTTTGCTTAAGATAAGTTTTTTTTCCAGGTACTTACACACAGCCAACTTCGGAAACTTGTCAAAAAATAACGTTACAAATCTGAGCAGATCCTGAAGTTAACATGATAGAAAAGTGGTTCATCAGAAAATTTGAATTGTTGATGATATTCTGCAGTACTTTTTAAATGAAAAATGATGAATTTGTATAGCAAGTTTGGCTAACTTACCAGCACTATTGCTCCTGGTTTCACTGGTGATTCAACAAACACACAAGCTTTCCTGCAGTTTATCTTTGGTCATGGTATCCGATACAGTAAAAGTTAATCGCTACTTTGATAACTTAGTTAGTTGTACAACTAAAAGATGTAATTTTCTCTAAGCTAGTAGTTGTTTAGACATGTTTCAAGTGTGTACAACAACAATAACAACAATATCAAGCCTTTATCCCACTACATGGGTCGTCTACATGAATCTTTTTTCTCCATTGTGTCCTATTAAAAGTCAAATTCTCATTTAAATCTAATAAAGAAAGGTCATTCCTAATATTTTCTATCCAAGCCTTTTTAGGTCTGCCTCTACTTTTCTTAACATAAGTCAAATCTAATACTTCTACTCTCCTAATCAGGTCATCGGAAGGCCGCCGTTTTATGTGACCAAACCATCTAAGGCGACTTTCTCTACTCTTATCTTCTACGGGAGCTACTCCAACCTTTTCACGTATATGCTCATTTCTTATCATGTAAGGAAATTACTCTCTTAACAAATTAAGACTTTGTTTGGAACAACTTCTTTATTGCTTCTTAAAACAGCTTTTTAGTTAAAATTTTTTAATTATTGTACTAGAAAGTTGTTTTAAAAAGCAGTCAGAAAATCGTCCCAAATAAAACCTAAATATTACAATTCATAGTTTTATCTATTTTTTTTTTTTTCTATTACTTTCAATTATGTTGCCATACGATTACATCCTTCATGCTTACATGACACAGCCATGAAAAATATCAAAGACAAACATTATCAAACTTCATATCAGTTTATCTAGAATTAAATTAACATATTATGGCTTCGTTTTGGACAGCTTTCTTATTGTTTTATGAAGTAATTTTTTAGTAGAAAAATTTTTTGAATTAAATTTTTGTATACTAAAAAATTGTTTCTTAAAACAGTAAGAAAACTGACTCAAACATCTTTTAAGCATGTTGAGTTTAACATATTATAGATAGTTCAGGATGAATGATACTTGATGAGAAGGCTACTGGAGTTTTCTGAGCAGTAGAAGAAGCTGCAGCCTTTAGTGAAAGGTATAATACGCTCATTCCATTCTGCAATAAAAGCATACATTTTTCATGATTTTATTCATGTTTAGCACCATATAGATTTGATGTTGAAAACAACAATAATTACCAAGATGCCATCTCGCACCAGCATTTTGTTTGCCTTCTTCATACACATCATCAATTCTGAATCGAACATTTTGGCCCATAGCTGTTGCTAGTTCTTCAAGGAAATGGTACACAGCTTGCTGCAGGTTGAATAAAAACAGTTCTCTGTGGATTAGAAACTCAGAACCAAATCTTCTTCTCTTTAGTCCAAACAGGCCAAGGAGGAAAAAATAAAAAGTTTTCTGGATTTTTTCTTAAAATTTAATTCTGTATGTGAGACTTTGATCTACAAGATGAGTTTTTATGTTTGTAAAATAAATTTTTGGTAAAAGTCTATCATGTGAACTCGAATTGTGATTAGTTTAGTAGTTGATAGTGGATTAATTAGTGAGAGTAATTAGTATAATATCTTGTGGGTCTATAAATACCCCCACTTGGGGAGTACTGGGCTTGGAAAATGTAAGAATAAGTTCTCCTCTTCTTGTATCTAATCTCTTTAATCCTTAATTTGGGAGTGTTAAACAACTCGAATTATTGAACAACTAGGATTGAGGATCCTATCAATCCACTTCAACTCCATGTTTACATGATTTTAATGATTTTGAATATGGATATTAAAATACTTGTGAACATGATAAATGAATGAGAATCTCTTCATGTTTCTTCACACGATTATTTCTGGTTTATAATTTGTTTTCCTATAGATGATTATTATAACGATACTACTTATAGATATGCTATACCATTATTTTTTTTAATATTACTTGATACATCAAAATTTTCCAGATCGGTCACGAATCTCGAGGAAAAATCAAATTGGAAACTTCCTAAATTAAAATTGGGACCATCCGAACTCCGATTTCATCAAACTTATAGTCAAACTAACCGTCTCAGAATTACGAACCCAACAACATCAAAATCGACTCAATCCGAGTCCCAATGGGTCCAATCAAGGAACTGAAGCGATATTGAAAGGTTCAAACAGCAATTTGGATTACCAAACGGTTTTCAAACATGACATACTTATAAACGAATCGAATGGCTCGACGAGACGAATCCAACAAGCCCAAGATCATGGAATTCCGACATCATTAAGACCTTCAAATGGCTAACAAACGATCCACGATCAAGGAATTCAACATCGGTCGCCCATCCAAACCACTCCCCATTTACCCTTGATATTCCTTCCATTTACGGGTCATGCCACTCTAGGAAATCTATAAATAGACTTCCTCTTAAAAAGGGACCCCCTAAGCCTAAGGAAACAAAAGAGAGATCGGATATCTCTCTTGCCTCCTTGCTCCTTGACCACCACCCGAAGTTCCGCCGGACCACCGCCCGAAGTGACTCCCGGAGTTCCGCCAGACCACCACCTGACACCCCAGAGCTCTGTCGAACCACCGCCTAACGCTAGAGTTCCGCCTGACAACCACATGATGCCCGAAGTTCCGCCTAACAACCACATGATGCCCAAAGCTCTGTCAGACCACCCGCGTGATACTGGAGTTCCGCCGGACCACCAACTGAAGCCCGGAGCTCTGTCAGACCACCGCTTGACTCCCGGAGTTTCTCCAGACCACCACTTGAAGCCCGGAGTTCTGCCGGACTTCCACCTGAAGCCCGGAGTTATACCGGACCACCACCCAATCCCCAGAGCTCCGCTGGTCTACCACATGACCCCAAAGTTCCACAGAACCACCACTCGAAGCCCAGAGTTCCGCTGGACCACCACCTAATGCCTACATCACCTGATGTCGGAGTTTCGCCGGACCACCACCTGACGCCCAGAATTGTGTCGGACTCCGCCTGACGCCAGAGTTCTGTCGGCCACTGTCTGACGCCGGAGCTCTGTCGGACCACCACCCGATGCCAAATTTCTATCAAACCACAACTGAACTACCAACTAACACCTGAATTTCCATGTAACGCCAGACTTCCGCCAAACCACTAAGTGATGCCAGACTTTCATCCCCGTTTTTCACTAGATTTCAACCATACGGTTAACATTTGTAATCTGATCGCCCTTAGGGACCAGTTAGTCCACTGTAATCTACCCAAACATTAGTGGAATCATTTCAGACTAGGCAAGACCCAGTAATTTTTCTCCTTTCCAGGATTTTCCACGTAAAAAATCTTGTATTCTCTATGTGTGAGTTGAATATCCGTGCAACGCTAAGACATAGGATTATAACTCTATCACCGCGTATATTCAAACCCACAACAATACTTATGTTATGGAATGAAAGATTGCATAGCTTATCTGTGAATGGAAAGGCATGCTTACATGATGATTAATGGATATAAAGAATGACTATAGGATGTCATTATAAGATTTAGATTTTTCTTGCCACTTCACTTTTAAATTGCTTAAGTCATGATTGCCGGTTGGTGCATTTTTTTCTTCCAAGGCTTCGTTTGTGATAATTTTTTTACTGCTTTCTAAAACAGTTTTCTAGCAAAAAAAAAATTAATTCAAAAAAATTTTGTATTAAAAAACAGTAAGAAGATTATCTTAAACGAAGCTTAAATCATACCCTCCTAAAGCGGCTAGAATAGATGAAATATTTATTTGA